ACTCACACCCACTCACTCACCTTGTAAGGCAATCATATTTAATTTTGAAATGCTGACCATGATCAACATAAAAATGATTTCTTGGTTTACAAAAATTTAACATTACCTCATATAATCATGCAGACTACAACAGCAACATTGTCCTAATATTCGGTGTAGCAGTACATGAACTATATCATTATCCAAGTTTAATAGTTCCCATCTAAGCCATTAAGATAGAAGATGCATCAAAGCACATACAATCATCTCCATGAGGTCCTCGTGTAGCTATGAGCACTTAATCAACACGAGTGCTACATCTACACCAGCCCATTCCCGTATAAGGTTTTCAATGTCCCAACTTGTGAGTTACACACGTATCTGGGGCCAGGGTCATGGAGATACCATACCCCCACTGGCGGCTGCCGGGATTAGAGATGTATGGAAGGGGAGAGCATGGGGGAGAAATATTTCACGGGTCAGGGTAATAAAACCATACAAGTTTACTTTCAGTCTTGCCTCATATATATACTACTCAAAACAATAACAGGACGGATAACTATGGTTATTTGAAATAATTAGGTGTTCCTTAACTTCTTTTGAGTAGTATGTATGTCCAGGTGTACTGATTTACCTGTACAATCGTTAGTTGGAGGCAGTGTTCTTACATGTATCACTCTTAATGGGATAATGATTCCTATCATAGCTATGAAAATACATATAGTGCATACATGTGAATTTTTTTTTTCGTGGGATAAATGAATACATATTTCCCATAAAGTATTTAGTTCTTATAACATCTCTAAATGTGATTACAGTTAGGCAGTACTCAGTGCCAAAAAAGTTTTGTTATAGGAAATTGTATTACCATGTAGTCCTTCATTGCAAAGATCAAATTTGTGATGTAAGTGAGCACTTGAAAAGTTCAGTGTTGGATAATTGTTTTAAACATACAGTCACCTTTTTTCAGATACCTTACATGTTAACTGAAATCTAAAGAAACAGGGTCTATTGGATATGGCTTTTATGTCATATGGGTGTGGGCAACTGTGTATTCCCTGATAAGATTTGTTGGATGGGAAACCGTCACTCATGCAAGCCTCAAGACTATAACTTGAGCAGCTATAGGGACAGCTTTATGCCTTGATGTATGGTACATAGTATAACATATGACACCAGTAAACATGGTAAATTGAAACTAGTTCTAAAGAAACAGGGCCTATTGGACACAGCTATTATGTAATAGGGGTGTTATATTTATGTTCTATCAATGGAGACCCACCAGTACATAAAGTGAGGCAGGTATTGTAAACGAGTTGTTGTCGGGAATCGCCTGGTAGTGAAAGCCCTGAAAGGCTATGATTATACAGCACTTGTCGTGCTAAAGAACCAGCTCGTACTGTCACTGAGATTACATATTGTGAGTGTTTAGTTTCCGATGTGAAGGAAGAGTGTGATAATATTATGGAATGCTGCACACACACCTGGTCACATAAACCATATCAATGGGGCTGAGGATGGTGAGCCCTGGGCTAGATCCTCCATAAATCTTCTCCACCGAAGCAGACACTTTCATGTTGTTTAATAGAAACATGTAACATGTTCTACGGTGATAAGAGTCAGAATTTATTACCACAAATATATGAATGGGCAACTATAACATACACTGAACAGAATATTAGTGTGGTGATATTTTAGTGTGAAGTTAATCCTTGGGTTATTGACACACTGAATCTTTTAGGTTAATGTGTACTCTACTTTCCTCCAATTGTTGTACAGCTATTTACTGTGTAAATGTGGTTTGTGGTTGTAATAACCATTGTGACCAATATGATAAGGATATTCTTGACCAAGGGATGTATCACACTCATAACTCATATGCATTGTCTTCTGTTGGAACATTGAGAAGGCCCTGGTGGAAAACTGTACACAAATCAATTTGGGGATTCGAAGGGGAATTGATATCCTGTACCCCATGGTTGTTGTCGGCAGCAACTTGGTGATTCTAAAGGGGAATGGATATCCAGTACCCCATGGTTGTCGGCAGCAACAACTGTAAATAATGATCACTGGTCTCAAAGTGTGACTTGGCTGATTTTGCAACATAATGATCATTACTCATACCTGGAACCACCCCTTCACATGTAGACACCAATGATATGAACAAAAAAATAATACTTTTATACTATAGAAACATAGCACACAATGAAGATCCATGGTCTTTCAGCACCATACATGCCCGAGCTTGTGGGTTTCACCAAAGTGGTAAACGTCTATCATCTATATCACTTTGGGCTTTCTCCCACATTAAGATGACACACTGTGACTGTAATATTGTAACTCATCAACAGAGATGGCCTCCCGAGCTGTATACCTTATAACATAAACCTATATTATAATTGGTGTATATTACCTTGAAATCATGTCAGTTTTGCTCTTTGAGGATAGAAACTTCAGCTGTGTAGAGAAACCTAAGACTTTGTCTGTTTATCATAAGGAGGACAGATATTAAGCTGGGATAGATTTACACTGCAGGTGCTTGTAAGAATATTAAATAAGCAGTCAGTAATGTAAATATAGGCTTATCCTCTAGATGTAATGTGTCATGATCGTGATGACTGACAATCTAGTGGTGTGTGTTCAAGTGGACTGTTGAAAGGATAATCTCTGTAGAAGTAGTATTACTAAATAAGACACTCTGTAAAGGTTATAGATTCCGGTATTAGTGCCTGCTCTGCAGATGTGAAGTTTTACATAGCTGACAGTGAAGCACGTGTCTCTTATGATCCACGAGCTTTATGATCCCTGTCCCCAAAGCGGGCTTCCTCTGTCCAGCCTTCTATCTGTTATTCCTTGTATCTGTTATTCCTTGTATCTGTTATTCCCTCTATCTGTCCTTCAATCTGGTTGGGACAAGGTTTTTCAGATGTTTTCATCATTAAGGGATACATATGTAGAGTAGAACAAGGTTGAAACCAAACATCGAGAATAAATAGTTTGCAGAGTTATGGCCCTTGTCTTATGGGCGCACATTTTCTCGGAAACCTCTAGAGACACAAGGATTACATTTTGCATACTTCAGTAAGGGAAAAACATGTTTATTGAGTTCAAAACGCAGCATTATGAACGAATATTTGAGTTATGGTCCTTCAGACCTGTCAACCCTCCCGCATTTTGCAGGAGACTCACGCGATTTGATGAAATCTCACGGTCTCCCGCATGAGGGACTATTTCTCCCGCAAAACAGCATTTTTCATTATTTTATAAATTCTCCTTCATTGTCCCGTGAGTAAAAACAAAGAACAGGAAATTTATTATTAAGGAATACTATGAATAAGTTTTCCAATTATATCCTCATGCATACATGCATGTGATACTTCCCGATCTGTCTGGGATCTCCCGGATTAGCAACCCTTATCACGACCATCCACCGGTGGGGGGGCCAGATGAGCCTTTGTCTAGTATTCAACTGGTAATTAAATCCATATGGTGAACGATTTAACAATGAAAACTGTAAAGAAAACTGGGATAGTCCTAACAGATGCCTGAAGCATGTGAAGGGTTGAACTTGAAATGAATAATCAACCAACTACTTACCACTTCCTGAAATGAACCTTGTTCTCTTCATGTTCTTAGCGTGTATATTCCTCCATAATTTAAGAACGTAGATACATATGATACATATGGCTGACCCATGATTCTATTGGGTATCCAGTGTGTCAGAAACTTTGTTAAAACATTAGTTTACCTCAAAGTTACGCCATTGAACTCATGGAAATGAAAACAAAATGTGACCAACAAGCGCCGTCTCCAGAAACAACACTATGAATGATTGGTTGATTCGGTAGTCGAAATAACAACGTTTAAGTAAAACTTTAATTTCCTTTTGACTGACATTGTGACTCATCTGTGCAGAAACATCAACATACAAGACAGTATCAATTCCACAAGAATTTATCATGTGATTATTTTACACAAGTTGATTAGCTAATTCTTTACTAGTATCCTAGATCGGGAATCTAATTTGCATCGACAGTAACAAAAAACAGTCACACCAAATACTCAGAAAACCTGCACCATGACGAACTCGGACAACTGGTCAGATTGAACACATCAACTGGTCAAGCTACATATTGTTTGTTTTCAATATCTGTTTGTGTTTGTCTGAGATTATCTTTGAACAAAAGGGATATTGGTAGATTGTGCAAGGTGCAAGGTTTATTCTTGGAGGAAGATGCAAACAGAATTTAAGCAAGCTGTATGTATAAGAAAATTATTAATTATTGTTTTAAGATATTTTAATATAAAAGTTAAAAATTATCTTATCTTAGGGGGCGCGGGTGGCCCAGTCGTCTTAGGCGCCACGATTTGCTGTGCAGAGTTGTGTCCCTTGGGCATGCTAGAAACCTATGATTGTGGGTTCGAATCGCGGTTTGCCCGATTATGTTTCTAGGTTTGTCAGCACCATACCCGTGCTCATGGGTTTCACCGAAGTGGTAAATGTCCGAGACCTGCATCACTTCGGGCTTTCCTCCTGACACGCCGTGATATGACTGGAATACTGTTAAAAGTGGCGTTAAACCCAACTCACTCACTCTTCTTATCTTCACTATTTTAAAAATTTCCCCCTTTGGAGGCTAATCTCCTCCACTGAAACAGTCACCCATCCTTCTCTCTTTCAAGACTGTACTATAAACACATCTGTCCTTAAAAATACTATGGTCTAACGTGAATTGGGTTTTTCATGTCATGCATCAGTTTTATAAACACTGTAGGGCCATGGGCATCCACTTGTGAATGGAATTTGGTGCAATACAAATATATGGTTAGTCAGGCTTGGTGACTTGGTTGATGCTCATAATATCAATCACTTGATTGTCTGGTCAACATTTTATTATTTACAGGCTTCTGTCATATCACTGAAATATTGTTGGGTGTGACGGTAAACAACAAACACAAAAACAGATAGATATCAGTTCATTTCCTCTTAAATGTTACTAAGCAACATATTTACTTTTCAGGTGGTATGATGTCCTAATCGAGTTTCCTAGATCCATGAATGCAGTATTGAAACCACGCCGGAAGTCAACACTAGGCCTGAGTAATAAGGAAAACGTGCAGGTGAGATAAGCATCTACCCTTTAGATGTCATATACTGACCCAGAGCTGTCATACCCGCTAATACTACGACCTCATCTGACCCAGCCAACACTTGCTTACCTCCCCTTAATGTTGTCTCAATTTGAAAATGTGCAAGAGTATCTATTAATGATGAATGCGAAACTCTAACTTTCTCACTCTAATATTTGCTATTCTAGATTCTTGACGGTTCAAAGAAGGTAGGGAAATGTTTTGAGATATTTCAAGATTTTCTTGGTTTATTGGTTCAGAAATCTTTCAATCTCCTTTAGGCTTTGGTTTACACAAGAACTGTCTTGATGGTACCTCGGAGAGTTGGTAATCTTTCTGAGTTTAAGAAATGGCATGTATTATGGTGTTTGACCCACTCCAACATGCAGATAATATTTTTGGAATGGCAAAGCTAACCCTTTCTCCTCCAGCCTGAGGGATCCAACAAAAAGGGCGAAGATGGCAAGGATATCCTGAAGGGGAGGTTCGAGGTTGAGAAGGTGAAGGGAAAGTCGGATATGCCAACATTTTCCACATTTAAGGGAGTTCGTAGTCTGAAGCACAAGTATGACAAGAACTACCAGGATGGCTTACGTAAGAGTAGCAGTTTGCACGACTTGTCTTCAGAGGAAAAAAAAGTGGATAGCGATTTGGTGTCATCCAGATTCCTCAGTCGATCAGGCGATCGTCTTGACTATGTCAGCAAAAATAACAGTCTGTACAACATCTCAGGTCATCCAAAGATTCTGTCAGATTCAAAATACACGAGTAGCCCTTACTTCACCCTACCTCGCGTCAACCACTCCCCAGCACTCCTACTACCCAAACCCTACCCAGGAGCTACATCCACGCCGGTGTCGTCTGCTTCCACCCCCTCCAACAGACGCAGTTCCTTCGATGACCGACCACAGAAGAAGAACCTCTCTGCGGCGGAGCGTGCCCGGCAACATCGGGAGAGGTCAACCAGCATGAAGGACTTTCCCACCCAGTTGTCCCTCCCCCGTGATGATGGGGCAGGGGACATGCTGTCCAAAGTGCCGGACGATGGCGCCAGTGAAAGCATGAGCACCGATGAGACAGAGAGCAATGAAACTGATGAACTTAAAGTAAGTATTGACAGTGTTGATTGCTGTGTTCTGCAGGCAGAATCCTGCCCGACTTCCAAGCAATGAAACCCTAGGCATGATAGCTTTGTAGCAAGTAATTTTAAGAACCTCATTGTAGTTTTTTTATTATATAGTCTTCTAGTGAACTTCCACATGAAAGAAAATATTTTGAATTTGCAACATTAAGTTTTAAGAACCAATGTCTTGCTGCAGAAATGCATGTAATGTTTTATCATCTCTTAAATTTTGTTCACTTATTTCTTTTCTCAAATTTTCTAATTGCATGATCAATTTATTGATTTCACTGTCTTGTGTATCAGTGTTGTCGATCCTCCATGATACGCTTCTGTGTATGTTCCCTGCATCAAATCACTATCTCCTGTCTTACCTACTATGTACATACAACTCAGTGATGAGGGATCTAACCCTTGACCACTCCCTAATGACATGGCCCCATGTGGTACACCCCACCCCCCTTCAACCGCCTCCTGACCCTTTTCAGACCCCCCCACACACTTCCCAAACCTTGTTATATGGATGAGGTAATGTCATTTATTACATACTATAATGAATGGCATTCCAGACAAATTATGCCAACGATTTATTTTTTCTTTATCCATTGAATCATATTAGTTGTTGTTTGTGTAGATTTTTTTATATGTAAGGTCATCTATTCATTAATGCTGTGTATGTTCGATATATTGATGCTGAAATGGTTATTCTCTACTAATTATCAACACTATCCATGTTCTCATGTCATCTGTTTGGTAATACTTTGAAAATTGACATTTTCAGTTGTCATATTCCACCCCAAGTGTTAAAGCCTGATCTGGCACGGTTGTATGTCACCCGTCACAGCAGTTGCTAGAACATCAGAGACAAACATTTTCAATGTCAAACACAAATGAAAAACACAAACTGCAATCAATATCATATTCATGTGCCCGTCACAGTCTCTTGTTATTTTTTACCGGATCCTGTAATTGGACTTTTCTTATCATAGTGATATGAGCTTATTCATACTTATAGGACATTTAAGGTCGATGTGTTCTACGTATAATTTGAAACAAACAAATGGAAATTAACAGTATTCACGATTACATTACTTTTTTGGCTGTTTTTGACCATGTTGACAAATGGGGCATAGTTTTTATATTTGCTTTCTATTCCAAAATTAAGATGGGCAGAAACATGCAATCAAAAACAATGCCCTTGATCTATATTATTAAAAAATAAAATAAAGATGCCTAAATTATTTGATAAACATAGTTCCCTTTAAACCATATGGTTGTTAATTGGGAGAAGATAATTGCTGATTTAGGAGTCCCAATGGTACATTCTAGATGGCCCGCAGTTCCGAGCTGAGCGCAGCTAACAGAGCCCACTCCCTAACATCCACCCCTGTCAGTCCAGATCCCAAGGGAACTAAATATGAGGCAAGTATATCAATCAGGGGTTCTAATTGGACAGAAATTGTAACTGTGATCGTTTAGTAGTAAATCAATGACACTAATTTCATATCGATTTTGTAATGTTAGTGCTGTTTGCTTGAAATTTTGTGATATATCTGTTTAATTTATGATTTTAGTTTTGCATGTAAATCCCCTTTTATGTTGAACTAATTGAATCATATACTTGTGGCTTTATGCACTGATTTTGATTTTTACCTCAGAAAATGAAATAATACTGGAATGTAAGCCTTCTTCTAAAAGTGAAGTTATCAGTTTACTTTGATTTTCAGGAAAGTTGAATTTTCAGTTAAAGGATCGTTTTGTTCTGAGGTAGAAAAACATTTCAGATGTTGCTTCTACAGTCATGTGACCATTTGTATTGTCTCTTCATGGATTCTAGAGTTTCCGTACACAAATCATTTGCAATTGTCTTGGTCAAACTTGGGTATTGTTCAATGTTAAATAGCTTTTTGTGTCTGGAATGTATGTCATTCGAAATAAGCAAATCATTCCAGCACATTTCCTTCAAGCTTGTGTGTCCAAAGCAGCACCCAGTCTTACACCAAACAGGTGCTCCTCAGTTGACAGCATAGAGGAAAAAAATCTTGAATACCTTCAATCACATTAAAATAGAGGTAGCCCTTCCAGCATACCTGTCTAGGAACAGCCTGTAATACGTCTTGTTGCTATGAGTTTTCGAAGACGTATTCGTGTGGAATTACTACGGATTATTAGAAATGAGAAGGTGACATCTTGAAATTCTTTTTGGACTTATTGGCTTGGAAAAGTAAAATGGATTTAAGAAAGAGAATTTATTGATGTTGACTTTTTTCGGAGGATATGCTCACACCATCAGCCTTCTTCCTTCACCTGATGAAGGAGTAAGCATATGATGATGGAGTAAGCATATACTCTGACAGGTGTTCCTCATAATAAAGAAGTTGACATCCATAAATTCTCTCTTATGTTTATCACTTCTAAATGCCATTCAAAGACTTAAGTGGATTTATTGACGATTTGATTTCTTAAACTCTGCTAGGGGCGGTCGGGTAGCCTAGTGGTTTAAGCGTTCGCTCGTCACGCCGAAGACCCGGGTTCGATTCACGACATGGGTACAATGTGTGAAGCCCATTTCTGGTGTCCCCTGCCGTCATATTGCTGGAATATTGCTAAAAGCGGCGTAAAACCATACTCACTCACTCACTCACTTACTTAAACTCTGCTGGACAGCACTGGTTGTCATCTTAAAATTCAAATTTTGTTAGGCTCTGCCATTTTTTATATGAGCATGATTGTTGACAGAATGAGAAAATGCACAATATTCAAGTTTGACTGATTAAATGATTACTAGGGTGATGACATGTTATCTAATGAGTGTTGTTGCTGCAGGACTTGGTGTACATGAAGAAAGGCTGGCTTATCAAGCAAGGCCCTCTTGACAAGGTAAGAAGCATCTTAGTCTCCACAGATGGAACACCCCGTGGTCATTCTGAGTGAGACTTAGTATAAGGTCCCCTGCAACCTATGGAGGTAGTAAATGGAGACTAAGTGGATCAGGTGGTCAGGCTTGGTGACTTGCTTGATTGCTTGTCGTGGATTGTTGCTCACAATATCAATCACTGGATTGTCTGGTCCAGACTTGATTATTTACAGGCCGACTTCCTACAGCTGGATTATTGCTGACTGCTGCATAAACAACAGGTGGATCATTGTACAGACACTTATTTATGTTTATGAAAGTCATGTATCATGCTGGAAGGGTGACAGATGGTGCAGTGACTTGAAGCAACGTAATTCTCTGTACAGAGTTATGTCCTTTGGATGTGCCAGGATCAGCTGGTTGTTATTGTAAGTTTGCCCTGATTATATGATCTGCCAGCACCTACTTGTACTGTTGGTTTCAGCAACCCATGCTTGTCGTAAAAGGTGACTATGCTTGTTGTAAGAGGCGACTAATGGGCTTGGGTGGTCAAGCTCGCTGACTTGGTTGATACATGTAATTGTATCCCAATTGTGTGGATTGATGCGCATGATAGCATTTACTGGATTTCTGGTCTAGACTCGATTATTTACAGACTGCCGTCATATAGCTGGAAATTGCTGAGAGCAGCATTAAACAACAAACAAACAAACAAACAAACAAAAACAAAACATCTTCCACCTGCATTAAATGTTCTTCCCACAGCTGACATGGCATATTATGAGTGAAATTATGTTCAAAGCAGCATTTAACCCAACTTAAGGACTTCATGCTTTAAGTATGTAACTTAACGGAATCAAATCACTGCATTTCATCCAAAATTTGTGTATAAGCTCTCCCACTGTTGGGAATGGATCTAATTTTGGTTGTCTGACTGTTTTTTGCAAGGTGACTTCATGTGTATGGTCCATTGTTCCCAAGATTTATGACATTTTCAGATCTATTCATTATTATTTTCAATTAGATACTTTTTACAATTCATCTTTAAGACAGAAATAGCATGATTGTTTGAATGGCAAGTTTATATCTATCTATATATATATCAGCATGATAGGGTCTTTCTTATCTAACAATATTGCATCGTATGTAGACGCCAATTGCCATTATGATTGTTTGTACAGCGAGATAAAATCAACATGGTTCTTCTGAAATTCTAGTAGCCTCTTGACAATACTTGAAGTGTTTATGTTAGCAGAGTTACCTCCCTTCCTTTGCAGATCCGATTCTGATGATATGTGGAGAGTACAATTTTTTTTGGATAATATTAATAGTTTAAGGCAGTTTTAGCAACAAAACATTCTCAAGTGTGTAATTTCCTACATTATATTAATGTTAGTGAGTTATTAGAATAAAGCATTTTAATTGGTTGTTGTGCACTATTTATAATTTTTTTTTTTTTAAACAAGATGCTTGTTACATGTTTCACTTGTTTTCTTGTACAGATTTTTTTCTTTGTTGTAATTGAAGTGTTTAAATCTGCAACATATGACTGTGTGTAGAATAAATGTTATATGAAATGGGGGTGGGGGGTGGGGGGTGGGGCTTGTATTAGCTGCATTATGGCTGCCAGAAAAATTCTTTCATTCACTTTCTGAGTATCTAAAATGATATTCCTTCTGTTTTGACCAGGACATGAAGAAACACTGGTTTGTCTTGGCTGGCAACTCTCTCCGCTATTACCGCGATGCTAAAGCTGAAGACATGAATAGTCTTGATGGCCGCATTGACCTTTCAACCTGCTATGAGGTGTCAGAGGTCAACACAGCCAGGAACTATGGATTTAAGATCAAGGTAATAATAAGATGATGCATAGTCGTATATAATGACTCGGCATAGACAAGCATTATCTATTGTGTGTCTATCTTCACTCACATGGGGGCATGGATGGCCCAGTGGTCTTTCGTGCAGAAATTTGCTGTTCAGAGTTGTGCCCCTTAGGCATGCCAGGCTCTGATGGTGATGGGTTTGAATCCCGGATTCACTCTGGTTTTGATCCTTGGTTATCAACACGATATCCATGTGCTCATAGATTTCACCTTGGCCTTCCTGTTACATTTAGCTTGCACACTATAATCTTAATGAACTACTGTTGCAGTCTCCATAAACATTGTTTCCTATTACCGTATACCGCTGTGTATTAGGCGAGTTTTCATACATCAAATTAGGGGGCTTTCAAGGGGGGTTGTCTTATACACAGGTTTGAAGAGTTTTGATGTTTTTCCCCCCGACACAGACATGACTGTGAGCAAGTAACACTGTAAATACCACGTCAACAAGCCTGTAATGAAGTACACAAACTAATCATGTAATTACACTGTCTGGTTATAAAAACAGTTCATTATATATCTGGACTTACCTTTGTTATCTATTTTATTTATTTTATTCAAAATTTCATTTGATATTGTTTATTTTCATTTCGGCAAAATCGTATGTGATGTGATCGGAAGATCGCACAACTCACGGTCATGTTAACGCTATTGACGCCTTGAAATGAACTTTAGTGGATAGAGAATGGATATATGTATAATAAATGCCATACTTTGACTCACTGAAAGTCATATCTGCTGTTGTTTGACTATCATTTGTCACCATAAAGTTTTAACTATTGCGAGCGCGGAAGCATCGGCGGTGATCCGGCAATAGGGATCAGCTGTACCAAAGTGCTACGCTTATGGTTGTTAATTTATTTCAAATATATGTAGTAAAATACTTCCAAAATAACATGATATTGGAATAAGTTATTCCAAATAAAATAATAGTTTCAGATTCAATTCTTACGATTATTGTATCAAAATTCTTTAAAGTTATTTTATTGGGTAATTATTAACCAAATCACCGGTAGATTCCGAGAAACATGTGTACAGCTGATTGCTACTTCCTGCTTAGTTTACGAGAAAATACACACGGTAATCTTAATCTCTGCATATAAAACAATGCCTTTCAGAACAGGAAATACAATTTAATCGGTAAATGATCATGTCTAGTGTTTTTTATCTTAACTTTTATATTTTGTTTAATCGTTATGATCTGTTCGTTTCCCTGAATTCGCTGAAGGTAAACAATGTAATTTTTTTCTGTGGAAGACAAACATGCGTTTATTGCAATGTAGGAATTGTGTATGTGCTGTGACGTGCTTCATTCCGATTCGCTTTATAGACGGGGTATATGAATTTAAATCTTCATGAATTTTAAAGGCTTGTACAGGGGTTATACGTGGGGTCGCTTTATAGACGGCGATATACGGTATTTTGGAGACCTAATACTGTAACTGTAACCTATTGTATTGCGGACCTCAGCAACATTGTAACCTATTGTATTGCAGGCCTTAGCTACATTGTAACCTATTGTATTGCAGGCCTTAGCTACATTGTAACTTTTTGTATTGCAGACCTTAGCTACATTGTAACCTGTTGTATTGCAGACCCGAAATGGGGAATATAACCTGGCGGCCATGACATCAGGGATCAGGAACAACTGGATGAAGGCCATTCGACTGTGTATGGACTTGCACAGTTCCGGCCGTACACACAGTATGCCATCATCAACTCTTGCCAGCAAAACTCTAACAGGTGTCGGGACAAGGGCTGTTGATGATTTTGATGTAGGAGCCACATCTAGTCAGACCACGACAGTGACCGGGTCCATGGGTGAAACTGCCTTCCAGTTGGTCGGACGGAGAGAGCAGAACAAGAAAGACACCAAAAATACAAGGAGGCATCATTCTGATGTCAATCCAGGAAATGTCAGCAAAGCTTTCTCAGTCAAAGAGTTTTCGTCCACCCTTGACCAAGTCCCGGCTGGCAATTCATCCAGCACACAAAGCATCGGTAGTGATCGCAGCACGCAAAGCATGGACTATGAACACTCCAATATAGAGAACAAGGGATCGCCCCGTCTGTCCCGGGGAACAAAGATCCCAAGACACCACATTCCTCCACAGGATCTTACTTGGCAAAGTGGCAACAACCCACCACTGAAAAGATATGTGGAAGGCAGTGACAATGCACCATCTGCGCCAGGGGGCGATACCGCTCGAGTCCCAAAACGCTCCATCATGAGCGAGAGCAGCAAGGAAGAAGAACAGAGGGAGAAGATGCGACGTGGCATGTCGCCGAGTGCAAGGGTGAAGGAAAAAACACGACCGGCTAAAGCTGCCCGCATGCACTCCCCACCCCCCTCAGATGATCAATATCACTTCAATCTGTCCAGCTCCAGTAAAGAGACCTACTCTGGAGAGTCTGATAATGACGAGGTCGATATGGGGGACCGGAGTCTGTCACAGGTAGGCTGGGTTGATGCATCACCATATCATTCATTGAGCAGTATAGTAGAAATAGAAAAATCATGTTTGTTTGAACTCTTTGTGCTTTCATTTCAACTCAGTCTTGTGGAAAGGGGGCTTTGCAGAGTTGCATCCCTTAGACATACCAAAAACATAAGAGTATGGGTTCGCCGTATTATGTTTCTTTGTTTGTCAACACCATACCATGCTCATTGGTTTCACTAAAGTGGTAAACGTCTGAGACCTGCACCACTTTGGTCTTTCCTCCAACAATAAGTTGGTACGCCATGTTATAAAACTGAAATACTGTTCAATGCGGCTTTAAACCCAACTAGCTCATTCACTCACTCAAGTGTATAGAAAATTAGAATCCCTATTTTGTGGTTTGACTTAACTCAACATTTTGAACTTCATGTAGCATCTTTAGAATATAGTGTTTGTAATTATTCAGTATTTGTAAGTCTGTTTTTCATGTCTATGTCTTATATTTTCAACCAACTTTTTTTGAAGATGCATGTGATTATTTTCAGTTGTTTGAATTATTTGTTTCCTACTAATGGTTGTAATTGTCCCCGAGGCAAAGTGTGCGAACCCTTGCCACAGCACATGACACCTGCATTGACACTGATGATCTACTGCCCCCATTCCTGCAGCCTACTCCATATCCTCCAAAATATCTTCTTGTCAGTTGGAATGTGATTGAAATTTTAAGTTGATTAACACTAACATTGATAGTAACAATGAGAGGAAAGTAGTATTGAAGTGAAAATGGTACACAAACGTTTTTGCCAGAATATGTAATAGATCAGGGTAGAGATTTAATTGCACTGATGTTGATGAAATGTTGTGACTGAAATATGCTTATAATGTTTGCAAGTCTTTATTATTACTTGACCGCCTCCGTGGTCTAGTGGTAGAGCGTCCGCCCGGAGAGCGGAAGGTCCGGTGTTCGATCCCCGGCCGCGTCATACCAAAAGACGTTAAAAAATGGTACTTGTTGTTACCCTGTCTGGCGCTCAGCATTAAGGGGCTAAAACAAGGACTGGTCGGCTCGGAGTCAGTATCCTGTGTCTGAGTGGGGTATTCATGTTAAACTGCGGCATGGTATCTCAGTGGGCTAGCACTATAAATCGGCATCAGTCCGGACTAGTACAAGCAGCCACACAAACACATACACGTACATGCACGTCGCTATATAAGTGCAATAATCCTGGACGCGACGTTAAACCCAATTTCACCTCACCTCACCTTTATTATTACTAAAGTAAGAACGTAAAATACATCAAGTTAAAATTGATACTGCCATTGCCAATTGTTTGTACAGTCTATAGTATGGCTCTATGTAAGGTAGACACAATCTGTTTCAAGTGTATTAACATATCTGTATTGGAATAGGCGAGTGTGTATTTCAACACATTGTTTGGCATACTATTGAAAAGCACATATGTGCACATTACTAGTGGCCTGTATTGCAGTAATGATTTGTCCTTGCTACATGCAATATGATCCCCACTTGGTAAATAAAGTATGTATGTTGGAAACTGTTCATCACAGACTGGAGTGATTTAAAGGTTGTATGTGTATATATATATTTAAAGATATACGTATTTATGTATATATGAAAGCTATGGATTTTTGTTGTTTTTACTAAAGTAAAATTTGTTATTGAAATCATAAAATGTACAGTTGAAATATGATGGAATAAGGGAGATAACTCTTGTTTTAGGACCAGTTTAATGATGAACAAATGCGATCGGAAGATGATGACAACATGATGGGTGGAGCTTCGTCAGGGTCCATCAGTGATGGAGGCGGGGTTCTTGTGGAGTTCCTGGAAACTGAGGTAAGTACTGTAGCTATAGATCAGGTTCAGGCACAGTTTGTTTGCAGTGTTTGAGATGAGGTGTGAAAGGGAAGGGTCCATGTCCTAGCCCTAGTAATACTAGTTACAGTTTCGTGAAGATACTGGGTTAGAATTGGTCGTAGGCTTGTCGTAAGAGGTGACTAACGGAATTGGATGTTCAGACTTGCTGATTTGGTTGATGCATGTCATCATATCCAAATTGTTTGATGTCAATCACTGGATTTTCTGGTCGAGATTTGATTGTTTAGAACGACGTCATATAGCTGGAACATTGCTGAGTGCGGTGTTAAACAACAATCAAACAAAACAGTTACAGATTTAGGAGTTTTTAGATTCAAATACTACAGCAGTAAACCTCAAGAGACCACGGCACCCTCCTTAATCTGACTTTTGGTGAAGTGGTGGCTCCAACTGGTTTTGTTTCTTGTTTAACACCACACTCAGCAATACACCACCTATATTGTGGTGGCCGGTAAATAATTGAGTCTGAATCTAACAATCCCGTGATTGGCTTCGTGAGTGTCGATCGACACAGTTGGGATACAAGGACATGCTTCAACCACGTCAGCGAGCCTGACCACCCGACCCCATCAGTCGCCTCTTATTCCCACTGGTAGAGATTATGACAATGAATTAAGAATATCTGTACATGCTTGTGAAATGAATTGATAAATGGCTGGTTAGAGACAGGAATTTTATGTATATTCTATGTAAAGAATTCCTTATTTATTAAGCAAAGTTTAAAAACTTTGATATTTTGAAAAATAATTTCAAAGGATCTTCATTTGGAAGGTAAAGACTTATGCATATTTATTGCTAGATTTAATTAATTGCTAGGAAATTAATGAATTAATTCCAGCAACACACACACTCTGAAAAAAAGGCATCATTTCAAGATAATGTTGGTTTATAGATATAATTTTTGTGTTGAACTATGCGTTATTATATTAGATCTTAATGTTTTTCCTTATTTCAATTAGAAATGACTTGTTTGCAAATATCTTTGTAATGCTAAAGGTGAAGACTTGGTTTTTATTAACCATATTGCCTCAGCCCTAAGAGGATTATGTTAATATTCCTTGACAGAGGAGGAGGTCATACTTTGAAAAGAAGGAAGTTTGTGCTTGTGGTTTTATTATAACTTCCTCCTGTAGGTTTTACCTCAACTTTTTATTCATCCACTTTAGAGAACTTACTTAAAAGATGCCTTAAGATGATCAAGCTCAGACACTCGCTATGGCGATAGATCTCCTTGTCTGCTGAATCATGTTCATGCCGTGAGAGTTACATCCAACTAGGGTCTGCTCGCACAAACATTTCATTTTATTCTCTGAGGACGGTAGCCATGTGGTTTAGGCAACTGCTTGTCACCCCAAAGGCCTGGGTTCAATTCTCCACATGGTTGCAATGTCAGAAGCCCATTGTTGGTGTCTTCCACAATGTTAGGACTTGAATCATACTGAAAGGGGGGTAATATTCAACTCCCTCACTTTGAACGCTGCTTTCAAGTTTTGGTTGTGCGTGTAAATGATGTTGTGTGGTTCCAGGTGGAATCTCTGAAAGATCGGCTGGAGAAGTCTCAGCATGACCTTGCCAAGATGCATGAGACAAACAGGGACCTGAAGAGTCGTCTTCACACGTCGGGCTCACAGGTAGGATCTGGTTGTTTGTGTACTTATATCACCCAGACTGGCTCCACACTGGCTCAAGGCCTGCTCCAGTCTGGCTCCAGGCCAGCTCCAGGCCAGCTCCAGCCTTGGCTCCTGTCAACAATAAAAAAACTATCTATGCATTACCTGTAGCAATGATGGGCTGGCTATGCATTCTAGTTATCAGATCTGTGATATTGTGATGTGCTGACGTTTAGAACTTATTAAACTTGATTTCTGGTGAATATGAAAAATGTGATACCATTCACAAGGAATGCTAAAAAGCTAGTCCTTGCTGATATTTGAGTGCTTTGTGCAGATGATGGACTGTATAATGATCCTGTGATGTATGGGACTGAGCTGAAGAATATCATACTTCTTGAATCTGATGACATTTAATGTGGATATTGGGAAGAGCCAGCATGCTGATAAAATATGTTAGAAACAGACTTATCCTTAAATAGACACTACAGTACTGACTTTGATGTGAAACCTCCAGCCTACTCACTGTAGTACCTGTGGTTCATGTGAAGATCTGAGTTAGAATAGGTCCTCAGCAACCTATGTTTGCCGTGAGAGGCGACTATGCTTGTCATAAGAGGCAACAGGATTGGGTGGGCAGGCTCCCTGACTTTGTTGATGCATGTCATCGTATCCCAATTGCATTTATCAATGCTCATGATGTCAATCACTGGATTGTCTGGTCAAGACTCCATTACTTACAGACCTCCGTCATATTGGCTGGAATATTGGAGTGTGGCGTTAAACAACATTACCGGGTGTATGTGCATGATGTGGGAAGTTAGACAAGATCAGACCAGACAGGAGCACTGGGTCAGCCTGTGCAACAATCTTGTACTTGATATCTACTGATTTTTTTAAAGGAAGAAGCTCTTGTTACAATATCTAAATGCCAGGTTTATGTATGGGGTTTTCTTTAGTCAACTTTACTCTAGAAATATGTTTGGTAATTGAGACGTGTCTCTGAGTTTGTTTATTATTTTGTGAAACAACAGGAGCACTGGTTGAGCCTGTGCACTCTTGTACTTAGGAGATGCTGGTAGAAACGTACTGCTTGTTACAGCATCTTAATGTCAGGTATTTGTATGAGTTTTCCATCTGTCAACTTTACTCTAAGAAGTATGCAGTTAAAGAAATGGTGGCGAATGTTACTCATGAGGCCCACTTTCAACCCGAGTTGACTCGTGCCTGTCAGAAGGACCTTTTCCTATTAAAAACTCCCTCAAGTACACACTGAAACCAAGGAGGACTTCACTCAGAGTTGTTCTTCACCAGCTGTAACTTGATGTAACCTGAAACCTCACGCAGCAGCAAAAACTCTTTGAAATTAATCTTTACAGTTTTTTACAAGGAGCAAAGCAATTATATGACTATGTAAAGATTATGGGGTTTCTTTTTGAAGGAGCTCTCTCAGAATAGTGAATAAATAATCTGTGACGTGATAAGAATATCTCCATATGTGTTAAATCATTTTCTTGTGAACAATTCGTTCTTAGGATTAGCCTGAGCTTGTATCTGTTGACAATGAGCTGGTTGACTTGATTATAAGCCTAGGCCTGTACCTACAATGAGCTAGTCTACAGCTTGACAGGAAACATCACTTGATACATGTATTATAAATTACACAGCTTGCTTTTAGCAGTGTGCTGGGACAAAATGCAATTGTAGCAGCGTGTGGTAGCGTGTGGTACTATGATCTATATAGAGTGCTGATGGTGCCAGGTGTTGTGTGGATTGTTCAGCCGTGATATCACCTCCTGGCTGGGATGAACTCCAGTGTACATGCATTATGTTGTAGCAGCACCTAGGTAAGCCTGTTATGTGTGTTGTTACCTGTTAACATGTGCTCCCTGCAGGATCTCCTGGACAGACTTAAGACAATGTTTCATGCTTGTGTTGTCAGAGGATCTAACTGTGTGTGTGACACTGGTTTGTGAGTGAGTGTATCAACACAATGTTTCATGCTTGTGTTGTCAGAGGATCTAACTGTGTGTGTGACACTGGTTTGTGAGTGAGTGAGTGTATCAACACAATGTTTCATGCTTGTGTTGTCAGAAGATCTAACTGTGTGTGTGACACTGGTTTGTGAGTGAGTGAGTGAGTGAGTGTATCAACACAATGTTTCATGCTTGTGTTGTCAGAGGATCTAACTGTGTGTGTGACACTGGTTTGTGAGTGAGTGAGTGTATCAACACAATGTTTCATGCTTGTGTTGTCAGAGGATCTAACTGTGTGTGACACTGGTTTGTGAGTGAGTGAGTGTATCAACACAATGTTTCATGCTTGTGTTGTCAGAGGATCTAACTGTGTGTGACACTGGTTTGTGAGTGAGTGAGTGTATCAACACAATGTTTCATGCTTGTGTTGTCAGAGGATCTAACTGTGTGTGTGACACTGGTTTGTGAGTGAGTGAGTGTATCAACACAATGTTTCATGCTTGTGTTGTCAGAGGATCTAACTGTGTGTGACACTGGTTTGTGAGTGAGTGAGTGTATCAACACATGTTTCATGCTTGTGTTGTCAGAGGATCTAAATGTGTGTGACACTGGCTTGTGAGTGAGTGAGTGAGTGTATCAACACAATGTTTCATGCTTGTGTTGTCAGAGGACCTAAATGTGTGTGACACTGGCTTGTGAGTGAGTGAGTGTATCAACACAATGTTTCATGCTTGTGATGTCAGAGGATCTAAATGTGTGTGACACTGGCTTGTGAGTGAGTGAGTGGGACAGTGTATCAACACAATGTTTCATGCTTGTGTTGTCAGAGGATCTAACTGTGTGTGTGACACTGACTTGTGAGTGAGTGATCAATAACACAATGTTTCATGCTTGTGTTGTCAGAGGACCTAAATGTGTGTGACACTGGCTTGTTAGTGAGTGTATCAACACAATTGTGTTGTCAGAGGACCTCTCTGTGAGTGAGTGAGTGAGTGAGTGATTGAAACACAGTACAAGCCATGAACATTGTATATGTTCCTGTTACACCACATGCACTGTTATATAGAATGGAAGTAATTGAGGGTCTTGGAGTCCTTGGGGGATTTGACTGAATGATTTCAAAGTATCATTATTAACATCAGGATGATGATAAGGACCCCTTGACTTTCTGGATGATTTCAAATCCTGACAGGTGGGAACACCTCCATTCTCATGCATGCACAGGTATTTGCGGTTGTGATGGAGTGAGATGATTATGAAATGTCTATATGAATACATGTAAAAGCAATTATATTTTAATCTGATGGTATGGAATGAGCTCTGGTATTACAGCATCTGTCAGGTGTGTAATGCATGCATGCATTGTGTCATTATGTTCACATGAGTCTCTTAAGTTGCACATACTGCAGTTTTTCCTGAATAAGTAGGTATCTGTATGTAATGTGGACAATATTATATCAGCCTTTGAGAGCTGCTACATATGTAATCTATTTACAAACATAGATATAGGCATACTTTAACTGCTGCCAAAATATGTAACTTCATATCAGAAGCAATATCATTAAAATCAGATCTTAGTGCTCGCTACCGCTAAACAAAGGTCTGAGGACATCCCATATATATTATAGGTCACATCACTGAACTACCTTCAGTGAATTCGACCAACCAATGAAATGACGAACAAGAAGTCGACACTGGCCAATCAGAAAGCAAGCTTTTTTAGCTTTATGAGACAAGTTTCAAACTAGCGATTACGCTTTGGAAAACATTGACTCAAAATTTAAAAAATGAACAGATAAAAATTCTGGAAAGTTTAATAGATGGCCGAGATTGGATAGCAGTACTTTTCACAGACTGTGTAAAGTGTCTTCCTTTTTGAAATGTTTATGCCATTGATGTGAGAGATAGACAAAGATTTTGACAGAATCCGTTGTACAGCCATTAACTGTTGTTTGGAATAATGTGTTGGTTGCATGATTAGAACACACATTCCGACTGGCACTTTCATGATCTAGTAAGCGACGCTCTGATTGGTCGGATGAAAGGTTGTTCTGACATGACCAGTAATGGGATATCCTCAGATCTTTGTTTAGCTATAGCGAGAACCAAGATCTGATTTTTTATGAGGTTGTATTGGAAGAATACTGCTATTTTTTCATCCACATTGCTTGAGATTCTGGTTAATGCAAAGAAAAGATGCAAATCAGACATGACAGAAGCCAGTGATTTTAGCCTGTGATAATAGCAAAGGTTCGGTTTGGGCTTAATGTCATTTGAACATTGGATGATTTAACTTGATTTCAACAATGGTATACCGCCAAGTTTTGAAGGTTTGGGTGTAGTTTTAGCTTTCTCTATTCTTTTTTTCGTTGCAATTATATGCCAAAACATGCGTGTGCATAGCAAGACAAACATGGTGTAGTATATCATATTTGCTTTGATGTTATTTATATTTGCACAGAGTCTGCTTGAAAAAGCTTAAACATTAATCATGTTGATATTTCTGGGCAATAGTCAGCCTTGACAAATATAAATTTGGTTTGTATAAATAAGTCTTTTCAGTTGTACATTTGTGTGTTTTACATAATTGCGTTAGAATAAAGATAGTATCACAAACAGTTAGCCGAACCTGGATGTATGAGTGAGATATGTCAGTAAATACAGGACTTATTATTAACCCTTTATGGTACATGAGACTTTCATCCATACAAGTATGTCATTGTGCTTATCCCATTTGTAAAACCTCGCCCAAGTTGCACGATTGGCAACACTCACAGAAACATTAACGTGCGGCCATAATAAACCTATTTGTGTTTGTAACCTTGCCCTCTGAAATATATATGGCAGGTCACCTTGCATTGAAGCAGTTCTAGACATAGCTGTAACGTAACTTAATGTGAATCTCTGCACTATCTTGCCTGTTTGTACAGAGCTTGGATTTAAGACAGTGTACACATATATATGAAGTGTGTTTAGTCCGCACGAGTACGAGTTGGAGTTGTTTGGTACAGATGCAAGTGCACACCATACAGATGGTCGTACATA